GCCCTTCGATGTCATATACAACGATGGGCGAGCACATGCCTTCGCTCTAGTTTGTATGGGTGTAAGATCCTCACTACTAATTCGCGGAACCCAAGGGCTACGTGGTCATCAACCACCCAGAGATTCAATGATAGCAGGAGACGGGCCTCTCATCAGGCAAAGTTCCGACAGTAGTAGGTAGAGGGGTAACAACAGCCAAGCGTCGTCGGCGCCAAGGTGCGCAGCGAAGACCGGCGCGACACTCTACCCTTCCTAACGCGTTATGGTCTTTTGCGCTACTCTGGCTACGCCTTACCATCCATTCAAGCAAGCGTGGTCCCATCGCCACATATGACAGCTACCTCCTTGCCACCGCTCCTGCTTCCTCCTGCTATGGTTCAACTTCAAACCTACAGGTGAGTGACACTACTACTAGGGCCACCAATCTCCGATGACGGCAGTGAATGAGACCAACATTGGGCGGGAGGAAGGGCGGAGGACCATATGTTCTTGTCCCTTGTCCCACCCGCAGCGCCGCACCACGTTGTAACGTTGCCCGCTTGGGACTAAAATACACCAATTTCCGTGAGCGAGCCTTGAGCCCGAGCGTGGATTGGCCACATTGTGTATTTTACTTCGCGATCTATCCCTCTACTCGTCCCTACCCTACGCCGCACTAGCCGTATAGGTAGCGTCGGGCCGATCGGTGCCCCTGGTCATCCAGATATAAGGAGTTGGTACGGCTAACGTGTTGCCCTTTCCTGCTCCTCGTAACTCGCTCATACGTCATTACATCGGTCGTCGGGAATTATGACAGACATTAGTATACGCCGCCCAACCAAGGTGAAGCAACAGGCGAAGGCATGTCACCCCACGCTGACAGCCTTCATTCTGGTTCGCAGATTCCTGTCAGTTGAGCTTAATGCTGCTTCATGGCGGCTGAGAGTTGTGCCGGATCCTTAACGATGCAACCAACGCGCATATGCAGTGACGATATTGGAGCCCACAACATAAAGGGCGGTCGGCCTGCTGCAACTGTAACTTAGGTTTTGGTGGCCTGTAGCCTCAGCAAGGGGTTCGCCGTGGGCGTTCCTCGGGGGTCGTCGCCCCTTCCCCACCCTACCCATCACGAGTGACCGTTCATGATTTCTTTTGTCCGAGTTCACGGATCTGTGCCCTGGCTCATCATTCAAGTTACAATAGGACAATCGAAAGCACTGTTGGTGCCCATCGGTCGACTGAGGTTTGTCTGGGCGCTAGTGCCATGCCGTTTTACTTGAAAGGGAATAGTCTGGTTGGGGACGTCAACAACATAGAGTAGAAGAGCATATACGAGGGTGAGAGAAACGGTAGCACACTGACCTATATGCGACCACTAATGAACGCAGCAGCTTGTCCTAATACACACAGAAAGGAGGAAGTGTTCGTAGTTAGGAACAAGGAGTCCATGTATGACGCCGCGTAAGCGTGCCACGTGTGAAAGCCATCACACGCAATTATATCGGATAAATATCTCTCTGCCCTTCTGTCGAGCTTGCACAGGATAGAAAATATAGCACCGATTCTAATCAGAATCATTTCACACAGTGCAAATTGTGGAATAGCAATGGTGATGCGATTGAAAATGTATCCGGTGCAAACAGTCACTTCAACATAAATGACCTTGACGTTACATGGGCCTCTACAGACAGCACGTGCATCAAGATAGAGGCATAAGCAGTGTTCTTGCTCCACTTTAATGAAGCCTGTGGGAAACTCAGCTTTCTGGTACAAACCGCACGGGTATAGCAAGTACATCGCTTATTTGTTGCCCAACAGAAAAAGGAGAATTCCAGCGCTCACCGACTGGCCGACCTTACCATATTATGTCTAGATGCCCATGACTACTTTAATTGGCCGTGCCGGGATAATTCCGCATCCCGGCTGCCCAAGCGGCGAGGGGTGGGTTTGCCGTGCGCGATATTCACCAAGCCACCGACCGGTAAAACCAAGCTGCCAAGAACAAGCCGCAAACACAGGGAGCGCACTAGCCTTGAAAAGATTATTAGAATACTGAGGATGCTGACAAACCCGTTTCGCTGCCGTTGCTTCCGCACATTAGACCAACTATATATTAAACAACCGCTGAAGTTAATGGGGCTGGTGTACCAGAAGCCACACCAGAGGAAGCGAGCGCGTCCCAGAACTGTCTCTGTTCCCATGACATAACGGGCTGGCCGTTTGTGCGTAACTCGCCTGTGAGTGTGTACCGACCATGGCCCAAATATGCGCCTCTTACATCGTTTAACTTATTAAGATGTCTCAAAGAAGGGAATCGGCAAGCCAGTGTACTATAGCGGCCCCTTGCTGCCTATGGCTGGCCTAAAGATTAAGAATTTCATGCGCTAGGTGGCTCTAATAGTTGCTAGATCTGCGCTAGCTTCTTGCTCAAGCCGAAACCGGGGGCCGATCTTGAAGGTGCGACTGTGCAGAACCCCGTAGTGGTCCGAATGAAAAGCAAGTAAATGTGAGCCGGCGGAGGAAGGGGGTCTGCTGATCTGGAGCCCGCGCTAATCAATGGAAGGTACGGTCCGACACTGCGGGTTGAGGACGCTAAAAAATGCGGGCCCGAGTATGGGCTGGGCTTTGTAGGCAGTCAAGTGCCCCTGCATGTGATTTTTGAACATCATGGATTTCGCATGCCAAGTATTCATTTCGTCGAATATCTTTGTGAAAAGCTAGAAGCGTATGCTCTGAAGCTACTGTGTGAGATGTGTGAGGACGAGTCATTCAAAGACTCCGCCAGTTGACTGAGGACGCAGCCCAATCTTCGCCAATTATACTACGCGAACTTATACGACATAGACAATAGCCTCTCAAACATTCAGGGCGCCAAGAAGGATGCTCTTCATCGGGACAGATTACGATCACGAGCACTGGTCAAGCCGTGATCGATAGCGATCGGGTTTCCTGTCGCTTCTACCTTAAGACCTCTGTGACGCAAACCAAGCTGTACATTCGAATGCAATTCTCTTCAGGTGATAGGCCATTTGCTTCTTTATTTGGCAATGTACGAGCTTGAACGCCTGTGCAGTTGCAGAGGGGTTTGCCGCGCGATACTACTTCCAAGCCCTCCGCAAGTGCTGCGGATTTTGGCCTTAAAGTCGGTGCCTGCGCCTTTTCAAAGCTTCGTACGAACAACGGTACAATAAGTGCGTCTTTAACTATCTATGGATGTCATTGCGCAAACACTGCCTAGGCCTAACGCGAGACGGCTGCGCTGTCGAGATAGCTTCGTGGTCGTGGATGGTGAGTTTCCGCAGACGATTGATAGATTTGGATTCTTGGAAATAGGAAATATTGATCACAAACCTTAAGGTGCGCCTGCCGACGCTCAGAGTCCTTTTTCTCGTGGGGAAGTTTCCATCAAAGGCGATTGGTGACAGGTGTGCCATGAAGGTTGCCCGGAAGGTGTTCAAAAATCAGGCCTGCAGGTCTTTCTCCCCTTCCGCCTGCCGAGCTGAACATCAATCTAGAGGAATCCGTGTAGCCTGCGGTTCCCTTAGCTAGGCACTTGCCAATCTCTAATGCGCAATGATAGGCGGAGACTCAACGTCGGCACGAAGAAGAAAGAGCCAAGGTGCTTCACACTTAGGCTCAATAGTACCTGCAATCTGCCTTCCAACTCTAACAACATCTCGTCTCCACATCGTTTTCGTTACATTGATTGGTGCTGCATCGTCGCTTTCTCAGATCATAGTTTTCCTTCGCTCTTCTCTAATCTTTAACCCTTCCAAAAGCGGCCAGTAGTCACACCAAGCACGATCGACACACATGCGCCGGCCGCCACGTCCATCACCTTCCAAACCACCACCACCACCACCACCACCACCACCACCACAGCCCCAAGCCAATCCAGCCACGCCGTCCGTCCGTCCGTCCGTCCGCACAAACAACATGTCAAGCACAGCCGAGCGACGCGGGACCCCAGCCGCCGCCGCCGCCGCCGCCGCACCAAATACGTCCCAGCCGTGAACCCGTCCGTCCATCGCCCGGCTGCCCAGCTCCTGCGGTAGCGGATCACCACGTGCGACGGCTTTGGCCGGCTCTGCACCGTCGAGCGGCAGTAGAAGCAGCGGCAGCGGCAGCGGCAGCGGCAGCGGCAGCAGCAGCCCTGCGTTTCGGTGCTGTGTACGACGACGATCGGCTCGTATGTGAAAATCGCAGGCGGGGTGGTGGAATCGGTGGTGGAATCGGTGGTGGTGGTGTGGACGAGGCGGGAGGAGCCGGAGAGGCATGGGTTGGTTTGGTTTCTTTTTTTCTTTCCTTTTTCTTTTTTGGAGGGGTCGCTTTGGTGGGTGGTATGTTAGTGGCTGGCTGAAACTGTTTTTTTCCGTCCCCTTCGTTTTTGTTTCGGTATGTTGCTCTCTTTCTCTCTTTCTTTCTCCTTTTTATTCTTTTGGGACGCCATAAGCGTAGGTGTGTTTGAGGTGTTCGTTCCATGACTTCCACACTGCCGTTTTTTGTGGTCCATGGTATAGCGTACTTCGTTCTGGTGTTCGCATGTTGGAGAAGATACCTACTAATATCAGTTGTTGAATTCTATGGCCATTTGCAAAAAACCGACTTTGACATCCCACACAAAGGTTCACAATACCTCTGACACGCGGTTAAGAAGACACATACCCTTCCCATCATTCACAGTAGCCGCACCGGCTCATGACTGATAATCTCTTGTTCTGTCTGTTCTGTCTTAACGATGGGTAGCAGCAATAAAAGACCTCAAATGGCTTCAAGCGCGGGGACAGATACAGTAGATGGGGCCATTTACAGCAGGAAGGAACTCCGTTCAAATGCAATCGTCTTCGAGGTATACAGCACAATAAAGCAATAAGAAATCTCGAGCGGGGAAAACGCACGAATGTTTCCGAAAAACCCCGCGTTCCCGTTCTCGCAACAACAACCAAGAACCGCCCCTTTACCCCTCATCTCACTGCCTCAATAAGTCCGAACGTTCGGACCCGCGGAGGTTGGACCGTGGCCTACAACTCCTTCTTCACAGCAGGGGCATGGTCAGCACCCGACGCCTTCATGGCGACCGCCTCGCCCTTCTCGCTGTGGGCAAGTTCCTGCAACGCCTTGAGCATCGACTCTCTCGTTTGCGTCGTCAGACGGTCGACGTCGGCAGCAGTCAGGCCCTTGGTGTGGATGGGAGGAAGAACTAAATCGCACACAAGATTAGCATCCAGCACTACGCCCACCACGCCGATGCCAGACAAACAAAAGAGAAGTAGGGAGAAAAGAGCAAACTCACCCTTTACAGGCACGACGCCGCTGTTGTAGATCTTCTTCTTGAAGCTCAACACATTGCTGTAGTTTGCGACGACGATGGGGACGATGGGGACCTGGGCTTGGACTGCAAGGTGGAAAGCGCCTTTCTTGAAAGGCAGAAGCTCGGGGCCTTCGGCGTAGGAGCGAGTGCCCTCCGGGAAGATGTAGACGCTTTGCTTCTCATTCTTCATGAAGCTGGCGGCGCCGTCGAAGGCAGCCCGGGCCGTCTTGCTGTTACCACGGTCGATGAAAACGGACTTGGACAAGGTCACTGCAGTTTCGACTCGGTTAACAAACTGCGGCCATCGATATGCTGGTGCGGCCGACGGGACTCACTGAACCATCCGAGGAAGGGAGTGTACTTCAGACTCTTCTTGGCGGTGACGCTGCAGTACTTGGGGAAGACGCATCCAAGCATGAGGACGTCAAGCTCACTGTTAGGGTAGGATGTTAGCGAAACCTCTTCTCTCAAATGCAACCTCGCAGTTCGGCATGGCGACGCGAGCAAATCATTTCCTGCCCGCACCCTCTCCACCACCACCCTTCAAGCGCCACACTCCCAGCAGAGACATGACCAGATTCGTTACCTCCCCACATAAATCCCAAGCGCTGTCATGCCACGACCCTTTCCCCACTATTTCCCCAGATCTCCATCCATACAACCTCCAAACGCCCCGTGCTCCAACCAGCCTTCTTCCAGGCCTCTGACCACCACATCCAAGCCCCCACAAGCTCCCATCTCTTTCCTCACCTCATCCCCCACCGAAGAAAAAAAAAACCAGAGAAAATAGGAGAAGAAAAGAAAAGGGTTGGGGCAAAAGGGGAGGTGTTGGGGGGTTGGGACAAAAACACTCACGTCTGATGATTCCCGACAAAAACGGCGGGCCGCTCCGACAAATGCTCCTCGCCCTCGACCACGACGAAGCCCACCCCGACGCCGAACCACATCAGCCACTTGAACGCGCGCGCCGTCGTCCACTGGCTCAGCCCGCCGTGCCCCGCCGTCCGCAGCACCGCGCTGCTGACCACCCCGTAGCACGCCGCCACGATCAGCGCCGTCACCGACGTCAGCGCGCGCGCCACAAACGACAGCATCGTCGCAGGCTTGCTTCCCGGCGGCAGCGCCCACGCGAGGACGAGGAGCAGGAACGGCGAGGCGACGATGGCGACGAGGGCGCGGAGGAGGGTGGCGCTCATCGGGGGAAAACCACAAAAAAAAAAAAGAGAGGGGAGGGAAGAAAAAAAGAGGGCGAGGAAAAAGAAAGGGAAAGGATCGGAAAGGCGGAAGGGAAAAGGAGGTGTGTTTCGTTCGAACGACGACGCGCCGGCGGTTTTGGGTGGAGGTGGGTTTTAAGTTATAGGAGGGAAGCAGCAGCAGCGGCGGCGGCGGCGGAGGCGGCGGCGCTTTCGGGTGCGGCCGTTCGTCGGCGATGTGGCGCGTGGGAGGGAGCTTTATGGGGGCTTCGCTGCCTTTTTGTCGAACCCTCTGTGGGCGCCGGGGGAAGGAGTGAGAAGGTTGCTCGCGCGGGGTGTGTTTCGTGGGTTCTGGTGTCTCTATCGGCGGTTGAGAAGGTGTGGGAAGCGCTCGGCGGAGGGTTGGGCGGAGAGTGCGCCGAGGTTCGAGGTAGGTCAGTCGCAGGGTTGAGTCGGGAAGCGCGTGATGGGTGGAATCCTTGGGTTCGAGGGTCCAGGTCGAGAGTAGAGGGGCTAGAGCAATTGACAGCGCAACAACGAGAGCATGGGCTAAGAAATAGGAGGAAGAGGCAGAAAGGCGGATAGACGAGAGGTGGGGCGTGGCAGGCGGCGTCAGCTGTGCGGGTTGTTGAGGTGGGATGTCGGAGCTGGGGCTTTTTTTCTGTAGCCGACCGCTGAGCTGAGGCCAGCAACTGCGAGCGCGGGCGGTGAGCGAGCTTGAGCCGCAGGGATCAGGGAAGTTTAACGCCTGCCGACTGGCCGGCGCCGGCGGCAGCTGATCGCGCCCGCCACCAGCCAACACGCATCACAAGCTTGCACCTGCATCTTGGCTTCTGGCCTGTTCTGCTCACAGCGCCCATCACGCGGCCATGGGGATTACGCTTCCAAAAGTAGAGTGCAGCCAACCAGCACTCTCATTCCAGACTCCACGCCCGTCGCAGCTACTCGGCTGTGCTGCAAGAACTATCTAATGCCGCCCTCCATCGCAACCTGGACCCTCCCGTGTCTCAACCCAAATTCCCCACAAGCCCACGGTCCCTGATAGGGGGGTACTGTACAGTAACTAGAAAAGCCCGCTTGCCGTCCCATTATGAAAAACCCGCCATTATACGCCAACCCAATGCGCGGACATGGAAAGGAGAAGTCCGAGGGAATCCCAAACTCAACGCCGCCATGCTCGCTTCGCCAAAATCAAAATTTTGAGGTGTGGTATTCATCGCCTTTCATCCAATCGTCATGCGCCAACTGAATGAAGCGACTACTGTTAGGGTAAGGAGATGCATCAAAGGAAAGGTGCACAGCCAAAGGCCCGGTGGTACTGCCACCTGGCCTAATTTTGTTGAGGGACGGCATGCAACACGTTAAATGCGCTGTGGGGTGATGCAGAGGTGCAAGGGCGGTCAAGTAGGTAGGGCCTCCACACCCTCCCGGAAACTTCAACACAGCACTGGAATGATAGCAATGAGGGGGCCAACTCAAGCGCCGTCGTCATCGTCATACTCATCGTCTTCGTCGTCTTCCAGCGACTCCATCGCTTCTTTGATATACTGCGCCGCCTAAACCAACATTAACAACTCCGCGAGCATCAGCGCTGGGACAGTCCGACATACCTTTGGATCCAAGTTGAGCGCGATGGTAAAGTGCCTGATCGCGCTCGTCTTATCTCTCATCATCTTGTACAGCTTGCCAAGCATGAAGTGGACGTTGGCCTCATCAGGCGCCAAGTCCTTCAGGATTTCCAGCTCCTCGAGTGCCATTCTGGTCTTCCTCAAGTTCATCAACACTCTCGCCTTCTTGAACCGTGCCAGAGCGCTCCGAGAATCGAGCCGGCATGCCTCGTTGTATTGTAGCAACGCTGCTTGCGGCTTCCGCATCCTCTCCAGAACCACGCCAATGCACACCAGGAGAACAGGGTTCCTCGGGTTGATGTGGTGCGCGTTCTTGTAATGCTTTTCAGCAACTTCGTATTTGCCTATCTTTTCATACACCCGGCCAAGTCCGTACCAGCCGTTGTAGTGTCGGCTATCCGCGGCGATGGCGCTTCGGTAAGCCAAAAGCGCCTTGTCGAATTCCTCGTTCGCAACGTGCTCGTGGCCTTGGAGAGTGAAAGCGTACGCAAACTTGGGGTCGAGCTGAGTGGCACGCCGGAAGCACTTGACCGCTTGGTCGTGCTCACGCTGAAGGGAAAATGAATTCCCGATTGCACACCATGCTTGTGGGGAGAGTCGATCGGATTCGATGAGCTCATGCGCAAGGTAAGCAAGGTCCGTCTCTCCTTTGAGGTGCCATAGAACAGTCGAGTAGACCTCCATGTCTTCCATCCGCGAAGGTGCAATTCTCTTGACCTTCTCAAATAGGTCAGCAGCATCGCTGTACCTTGCCTGCTCGTATTGTGCACGGCCCATTTGAGCAAGCACCCAAGGCGTCTCCCGCTGTGCGGCAGGGAGGGAGTTGAATTCCTCCCACGCGGATTCGGAAGAGTACCGGCTGAGGAGATAGTAAGCGTTTCCCAACTTGCAGAACAAGTCTAGCAGTGATTGCAGAGCTTCCCGCTCCTTCGCAACCTCGATAGCTGCGGCTGACTGTTGCTGTTTCGGAGGCGCAGCCGACGTGATGTTTCCGGCCAAAGCACTTTGGGATCGGGTTTCCTTCATGTCTCGCTCGGCCGGCTCGATGGGTTTCCTATTACCGCTAATCACTCTTCCTACAGCAGAGGTACCAGCCCTGCTGCTCTTTGCCGCAGTCGGTAGCCGAGCTCTTCTCAGCTCTCTCTTCTCTCTTTCCTGAGTCTCCGCACTTTTTCCTGAAGTCATGGACCTGCCTCCCGAGGGCCGGATGTGGTCTTGTACGGATTGCATTAGTCGATGGCTCCTCCTCGGTTGAGACGCAGGGTTGCCAGCTGATGTGCTGGCGTGGGCCATATTACCAGAAACGGTTCGTTTTTGAGCACCCACCATGGACGATTTTACTGGCTCCGCATGGTCGCTGGAATCCGTCCCAGACCTTACACGACTGCGCGTGGTTATCGACTTCATTCGGGGAACTTCTACTCCAGAGTCCGTCATGGACGGCACCTGCCGAGATCTCCTTGCTGGTGCGTGTGGCGGCTCCGCGCTTGGCGCCCGATTCATTGGTGCTCCGCCTGCTTCGCCCATCATGACGTCTTCGTCGTAGGCTCCACCATTGCCAACCGGTGTTTCCACGTCGAGTACTTGCTGGCCGTTTCCGTTCGTCGCAATGGCGTTGAACTTTGCGAACAGTCCGCCCGCGTTCCTCTGGACATTCTCTGGCCGGCCGGGATTGAAGAGATCCTGAGTAGGGGTGAACACTCCGTTGGAAGCCGCATTCAGAGCGTTTGCGGGTGGAGAGTCAGGGACGGCGCTTGATGCCGATAGTAATGCTGACATTTCCGGGGACATTTTGAAAACGTTGGTAGGGCGTATGACGGCGCCTGCTACGTGTTAGCAGCTATAAGCCTACAATGGAACCATAAAACATGCCGGTCTCGCAAAGGTCGAGGAACGCATCCCACATGAACGGGTTGAGCTTGAGAGCTTCGGCGTAGCATGCAATTGCCTTGTGGACGTCTCCGTGAGCTCGCCACAGCTTTCCCAAAAGGCAGTTCACAGCAGCAGCGTCCGGAAGGTGGCGCCTCGCCGTCTCGGAATGTTTATCTGGCAATAGAAGTCTAGTTAATATGTGACATCCGCTGGCAATGTCCTCGTGTGGGTTGTACTTACTCCAGTGATTCCGGCCTCCCCAATGACCTCTCGCGCGATCCAGCGCCGTTATGCCTTCAGGGAAGCGCCCCAAGCCCAGACAAGCTTGCGCAAAGACGTAAGCGCAGCCCATGTGTTGTCCTCGGAAACCCTTCTCGCGACTGTAGTCGTAGGCGGCCTTCAAGCGACCAAGGCGGAGGTGGCAGAGAGCAAGCAAGTGGGCGGCATCGGGGTTGCGCGGTTCTTGCCCATGCAGACGGCCAGCAAGGAATAGTGCATTCTGCACGAAGTCATTGTCGAGGTGATAGTAAATGAGCTGCCGCAGCTGGGTTGCGACGTAGGGATTCGGGGTGGGAGACATGGCGGCGGCTGGTGGGCGTCGACGTGGTCGACGGAGATGGAGGTTTGGCGCGGAACAGGGTTTGAAGATGGAGATGGGCAAAGGAGAGCCCCCGAGAACGGATGGGAGAAGGGCCGGGAGCTTGCGGTGTGTTTACGCCATGAATGCAGGCCTGAGTTGTCGCAGGACCAGAGCCGGGGTGTTTGTGTATACAGGCTGTCGGACACGACAAAGCAGAGCGACGCAAGCTCGGCGGAAATACACGCGGCGCGACGGACGGAAACGGCGCCGTCAGTGTGCGACCATGAAGGCTAGCAAGGTTCGAGGGTGGCGGGTCGCGCGACAGGTGAGCAGCGTGGCGTGAAGCGAGGATGCGCGATTGCGATGGCTAGTCTCGTCGGGACGCTCTCTGTTGTTGTGCAGGCCCGGGCGGTTGGCGGACAGGCTCCCGCCGATCTCTAAACGCTTCGGGCAAGCGCGTGGTCGCGCTTAGGGTTCCCCCAGAGACTGCCCGCCAGAACGTCACTCCAGCCAAAAAGTTCCATCTCCGCTGTAGATAATCGATTCTCACGCTCTCGACGCGTGTCTTTGCCGGAACCGACAACACGCGCACTCGCAACACCCACGCGTCTCCCGCCTCCGCGACCAGGTCCGCCTGCATCCCTGTTTCTCGAACGCACACCATCGCGACGCACAATGGCTCAGGTATGCTGCACCTTTGCGAATGTCCCCTCCAGCGTTATGAGATCATCGTCTTCTCCAGGAGCATGTCTAGACATCGCCTGGGGTCTCGAACGATCACATATCCTCCAATTCTATCAATTACACCTCAGAGACCGGCTATTCCGCCCACTTCTACAGACTTCCACGTCACTCAGTTGGAACTAACCGCCTCCAGAAATCGCAAAAGCAGCTTGCCGCACGCAACAAGGAACAGCTCAACCGTGCGCTTCTGATCACCCTCGGCATCCATTGCTTTTTCCTCCTGTCGAAATTCCTTTTTTCGAAAACGTGGTCTGGACGGTCCATCACCGTCTACATACTGTGCTCCTTGCCGTCATGGATCATACAGTTCTGGTTTGAGCGCATTGCGCGCCCGACATACGACAAGGAAACCGGCCAGCTCCGCCGCGCCGGAGAAGACTTGGAGGCCCAGGGTCTGACGGAGTGGATGTGGGACGTTCTATATTGGACTCAGGGCTGTCTCGTCATGGTCGCTGCTGTTGGTGATGGCGCTTGGTGGATTTGGGTGAGTCAAGCAACCGAGAATCGTTCAGCGGCCCAGAAGATGCTCATATCGCTTAGCTCGTCGTGCCCTTGTATTCCGTTTATCTCACCTATACGACTTTCATCGGCGCGAGGCAGAAGATGGCTGGCATGTCAGGTCCTGGAATCGACGAGGGTGTCTCGACTGGCAGCAAGAGACAGCAGAAGCTCGAGAAGCGGGGCGGCCAGAAAATGCAGTACAGGTAATAGTCATTTGGGAAGCACGAAGCACACCAAGCAGGGCAATCTTACATAACATGCAATCTGGATTGTTTAATAATTGCAAACTAACGAAAGCATTTTATTACAACATCAACTTGAGTTGTGTGGAGGGGCCTCCACGAAAACGCCGTGTACCAGGTGAACAAAGTAAGCAGGAAAGGAGCGCGTGGAAGCGCAGTCAACCCCAGTGTCTCTCCGCAGAATGGACCACGAAATTGGCCTAGTCGTTCTGGTTGTTCAGGATGCGAAGGATGGCCAAGAAAAGGTTAATGATGTCAAGGTAGAGAGACATGGCGGCAGCGATCTCCTCCTCAACGTGATAGTGGCGCATGATCAGCTGGGTGTCGACCAGGATGTAGCCGCTGAAGATCAAGGCAGCAACAATACCATAGGCCAGGTCGACCTTCTTGTCGTAAGGGAAGAAAGCCGACATGAAACCGAAGAGGATCAAAATCCAGACGGCGCCGAACAGGTAAGGCATCCAGGAAGTGAAGTCGTACTTGCTCTGGCAAGCAAAGACAGTGAGAGCAACGAAGATGCCTAAGGTAAAGATGAGAGCTTCGAGAACAATCGAAACTTCATAGAAGGAGGTAATCACGGAAATGGAGTATGCCTCGAAAAGGGTGAAGCCGGAGAGAAACAGCAGGTTGGTCGGGTAGGACTTGCGCTTCCAGAAAGTGAGGAGCATAAAGCCGATGGCGCCGAAGAGGGAGATCCACATCATCGACTGGTGGCCCTGGATCCAGGTCCTGTAGCCCACGCTGAAGAACGAGATTGAGCTCATGATGCAGGTCGCAAGAAGCTGGACAGTTCTGTAGGACGCTGTTAGCAGCCGTGTCCTCCCGCCGTGTCCACCACTCCCCGCCAGAGCTCAGCCTCCACCGGGGCGTCTTCTCATGCTCGTATCGTGTTGGATCCCAGAAAACCACCTCAAGACCATATTACGTTCTATACGCCCACAAGGTGACGACTTACAGGATAGAATAGACCTTGCGGATGAACTGCATACGAATGTCGAGGGTAGCCTCAGCAACCATGCCGCCGAACTACGGCGCGTTAGCAGGCCTTCGAATACGCATATCGGAGCGCTTCGTACCTTGAAATCGTCCGGCACATTATCATATTCGCCACGCGCGACGCCAGAAAGCAGGGCGGCGTTGGTGGCAGCTTCAGCCTCGTAGGCGGGTGGCGCGTGGCCAAAACCCGCCGCCTCCTCCTCATCGAACGAGTCGCGCTGCGGAGCAGGCTGGTATTTCGTGTTCGCGGCCATGGTATCGTAGTTTGTGTTGGGGTGGCTCATGTATGGGAAGCGGTCGTGGAGTTCGCGAGCGGGCGCTGGTTGTTGTAGGCGAGATTAGTAGGGTTGGTGGACGGACGGACGGCGGAGTAAAGTACTTATGACGGATGCGCCTAGCTTTGTTGCGGCGCGGGGGCCTCGGTGGGCGGCACGGGCAGGCAGGCAGCACAGGAATGCGCCCAACGCGACAGGCCAGCAGTACGTCAAAGGCGCGCCTCCCTGTGCTGATCGCTATCAGAGAGCTCTGCGCCCAGAATGCGCAGCTGCAGTCTCATGCGGGCGCTGCGCAGGAGCTCAGACCGGGCAGCAAGATCGGCGGCGGCGGACGCGGGCCCTGGAGGCGCCAAGCTTTGGCCTCAGGCATGTGTTTGAACAGCGCGTCCTCCCCAGAAACGCCGCCAGCGCGACAGGAGATGCACCAAACACCACTCCGCCCACTCGCACACACCGCCCACGACTCGCTGCATCGCGCCACCGCCATGTCCACGTAGACCCTGTGCCTTGTCTACGCCGAAGCCGATCCCCCATTGAGCACGTCGCTGCCCCTATCACCGCCCGCACAACGCGCTCTCAACGTCCACCATGTCCGCATCACACCGCATATCGTCCTACAGCAACCGCAGCAGCTCGCCTGGCCGTCCTCACAGCCAAGATGAGAACAAGAACATCTGGTCGTCCATGCTGGATGGCGTCTCCAGCGGCAAGCGGTTACCGGAGAAGAGCTTGCTGGTCCTTGGTCGGTTGAGCCCAACTACCGTACCAATGCATAGAGTCTAACAGGAAATTTTTGGCGCCCACAGGAGGTACGCCCGACACGCAGAAAGAATTCCTAGAATCCCTCACGATGGACGAGAACGGCCGGAGGAGGCCGCCGGACCGCGGCCGCAGACCGCCCATCGCGAACCAGTTCGCGCTCGGTTATACCTACCAGGATGTCCTCGACGCCGACCAAGACGGTGCGCCAATGCCCTTGGACATCTCGCCCGCCAGATGCTGATTGCATTAGATATCCTCGCTCGCCTGTCCCTTTACCTGCTCACTGATCCCTCGCCTTCCTTCACCCCGCTTCTCAAGCCGCTGCTCACCCCGCGCACACTGCCGAACATGCTTATAGTCATCTTACTGGATTGGTCACAACCGTGGCTGTGGATCCGACAACTGCGCGAGTGGATCCGCGTCCTGCGGTCCCTCATGGTTTCGTTGGACAACGACTGCAAAGACGTGATGGAGGAGAACATCGTGTCGTGGCAAGAGCGGGGGCGCAAGAACAATCTCGACGGCACTCCGGGCACCGGAGCTGACGGGGACGTATCGATCCCCGTCGGCCCTGGCGAATGGGACGAGCCGCTTGGTATACCACTCTGCGTTGTGTGCCAGAACGCTGATAAGATCGAGGCACTCGAGAGGGAGCGCGGGTGGAAGGAAGAGGAATTCGACTTCGTGCTGCAGTACATGCGCACCATCCTGCTCAAGCACGGCGCATCGCTCATCTACACGATGCCCGCGGCGCCCGGATCGCTACAGACGCTCGTGCACTCGAGCCTCAGCATAAAGTCCATGCTCCAGAAGAACTCACTTAAGCACAACGTCATCGACCGCGACCGCGTTCTTGTGCCGCCCAACTGGGATTCTTGGGGGAAGATTCGTGTCTTGCGCGACGGTTTCGATGCCGAAGGCATCAGCCAGGCATGGGCTGTTGACATACAAGCACCCCAACCACGACAGCCGTCGCTGAACGGCGACGAGAATGGCGAGGAAGTCATTCAGAACGGCGTCAGCCATGAGCCGGAAGAGGAGTCGCCAGCCGTCGCCATCTACGAAGAGACTATTCGTGACCCGACTCGGGACTCTCTCCTTGCCCAAGGCTTACCGGTCAACACAATCAACGGCGCAAACGGAATCGAGACCGACAGCCAGGATAACCAGGTATTCCTGGGTAGCCAGCTCGAGGTTCTCGACAAGTTGCGAGCCGAGGACGAGAAGGTCAAGAACGCAGCCAACAAAGAGAAGAACAAGGGCGCGTTCATCACCCACGGCACGGGAGATTCGTCCGTTTCCGGTACCAACAACGCGGGAAGTGGTGTTGTGGAAGAGCACATTGGGCCGGTTCAGTTCAACATGGGCGGTATCCAGGTCGATGCCGACGACATGTTGAAGCGCTTGAAGGTATGTTCCAGCCAACCGTTCACTCATCAAAAAAAAAAAAAAAAGTCCCAGACGCTAACAAATCTCCCTTCCTGCAGGACCGCGAGGCAAGCCGCGAAGATACTGGCGACAGCGGCGTCACCAGCCCCGTCGACGACGGCAAAACCGAGAACGAACGCCTGGCCAACTTCTTCGCCGGCTTGATGAAGAAGACGAGCAGCCCACGCTCTTGAACAGAACGTCCCATCCATCGAAGGGGGCCAACAAACTGCCGGCAACCAACCATCGGCGATTGACATTGTAGTCCGCGGGCTTTCTATCTACCAAGGGGGCCTTGCGGCTCTCGTCCTTGCAAAAAGATGCATATTGCATTGATTGGGTGAAATTCAAGCTTGGCTCCGGTCGGTAGGGAGTCCTCTCTATTTACGACTTTTATTGCAGCCAGGGCCGTGGGGATGACGATCAAAACGGCGAACTACTGGCCACGGATACGAGAGAGAATGAGAGAGAACGAGAGTGTTCTGTACCTCAGCTGAAGAGGTCGGAAGGAAGGGTGATTGGGGATTCTGGGGAAGGTGGGGGGGGGGAGGAAGGCGAGGGGCTGGAGATCAAAGGCAGAATCCTCTTTTTTGGGTCGGTGGGAGGTGGGGACCATGAAGGCGGATGAGAAATCAGCGGCTTACGGCTACGGCCCGGCTCGCGCTACGCGCAAAGATATCCAGAAGAATGAATGATGAAGCGATACGTCGACGACAAACGATATGGGGAAAAAGAAAAAAGACGTCAAGATGGTGAAGGGATGTATATGGTGTGGTTGAGTCTCCATTTTCTTTTCTTCATTCAAATGTGTGTTCACACACGGGAGGAAGGGGGGCGAGGGCAAGGGTGCGTATGTGTGGCTTGGCTTATGGCTTTATATACCCCCTTTTTTCTTTTTCCTAAATCTTGGTAGAACATCAAATGAACAAAAGCGGTGGCGCGCACCTGCTTGGTCCTTTTTCGCATGGATAGTGCTTCATTCCCACCGCGTGGTTTCGGTTGATTGCTTTCAGAGAATCCACCAAGTATCATGTAAGTAACCTATTGGACATCACGTATATTCAATAGCGTTGAGGCTCATCGTCATCATCAACCCAACAGGGTAGTCTTCAGCAACGTGTTATCTTGTACAACAAACACCCTTGTCGGGTGTCCCTTTCTTCGATTCACCTCTATAAACACCACGTAGTAGCAGCGTATAATAATGAGACATCCAGTTAACAAGCTTCTTCCTGTGTCCAGCTGTGATCACCGTCCGACATGATCTCTTCACTCGCAAAAACACACAACCGGTTGAAGTGGAAGTATCAGTCCATTCATCATCACCATCACAAGAGGGTCTCTCGTCGGACCACGACGACGATGACTGGTCACGAAGTGTCTCCGCCGTCCTCATCAGCTTCCCAAGAATATAATAAAGAACACATTATCAGACATCAAACAAGATCATTAAAAGAACATACAAAGACAAGCTCGGCTTAAGAGCAAGAAAAAAAAAAGAGGTGAAGTTAATACCAAAAGGCGTACCAACAGCTTCAGAAGGTATGGTTAGGTATCACAAGTTCAAAAAGGGTTGAAAAAGAAAAGAAAAAAAGTGCAAAGCATCTCTCCAAGGGGGAGGCAGAAGAGGACGAAGAAAGAAGAAGCAAAAAAGAACAAATCGCCCCAGGACCACCAGATTCATCCTCAGCAAATCTTCGCCCATTTCCCCCCCTTCTCTCGCTCCTTTCCCCTCTTTCTCAATCGACCCCACGCTTTCGTGGTTATAGTCCGCTTTCATCATCGCTTCTTCAGAAAATCCGAGCTTCTCTTCCTCGTTCTTCCGTGATCTAGTCCCTCTGCCCCTCATTCAACAGCAACTCCACCACAATCTGGCACTTCTCATGCCTAGGATGCTGCATCGCCAACTTGACCGTACGACTGTGCACCGCCGCCCCAGTACCGCCATATGTCCCATTCTGGGCCGCTTGCGGGGCCGCCTGCCCGTTGTTGGCGCCGGGCTGGACCCAGTGGCCGCCGAGGCCGAGGCCGTCGTCGAGGCACTTGACGTCGCGGCCGGGGATGACCTGGCGGAGGCGGCCGTTCTGCGCGTTGCGCACCTCGACAAAGTCCGGGTCGAAGAGCAGCACGTAGGGCCCGTACAGGGCCGCCGCCTTGGCCTTGCCGACGAACTCCATGATGACCGAGCGCGACACGTCGCCGTGCTTGTTGACGTACACGGCGCACTCCTCGTAGCAGAGCAGGAACTCCTGGTCGCTGAGCCGGAACATGCCGAGCGGATCCAGCCCTTGCAGGCGCGACGCGATGGTCGCGACGTGGCTCGCCTTCAGGTCCGGGACGGACCACGACTGCTTCTTGTCGAGGGTGAGCACTTCGAAGCCCTTGGATGTCGAGACGGCCAGGGAAGAGTGGAACAGGTTGAGGCCGTAACACTCGGTCGGGATGTAGAACTCGTCGTAGTCGCGGAAGAACTCGGTGCGGCCGGTACGGAGCCAGCGGCTCTTTTTCTCGGTGCTCTTCTGGAAGACAGGCTCGAGGACCTTGAAGGTAGACGAGAGGCCTTCGCGCTTTTTGTAGAAAACGAGGGTGCGATCTTTCATCTTGCCTGTTGCAAAGAAGCCTACATCACGCGAACCCGACAATTTCTGGGGAGCTCGGCGGGACGAGTCGTTGTTGTTGCTACCTGCAGTACCTCCGATAGGACATACAAGGTCAAGATGGTAGGCGATGAGGCTCTTGTCGGAGATCAACAGCATGATGCTGAATTCCTCAAGGACGGCGATTTGCGAAACTCTCGGGATCGTGATGGACTGTTTTCCATTAGCAAATCTCTTGACATCATGTACTAATTCCAATCGTACCCTTGACCAGCCGCGAGGGTTAGCCGTTTCCGAGATGTACACGCCATAGTCTGTACCGACGGCCACCATGGGCTTGCCATATGGTTGCATGAAAGCCGTTGCGCAATTGACGCGAGCTCTGCAAATAGGGCTTGGGCGGCCTGTATTGGCGAATAATTTTTCGACATCATCGATCGCACGGTCAAGAGGAGTGCCCTTGATGGTGATGCTCTGAGAGCCAGTCGTTCCACCCTCGTAAGCAAATGCTGAGTCAGCCATAACACGCAAACGGAACGGCTCTGCGTTCTGCGCAAACAGAGCCGCAGCGTGCTTGGTCTTCGCTTCTAAGATCTTTTCACACCAGTCCTGGCGGTTCTGTGCTGACGGCGCGAAAAGCGTATACACCTCCTTACCGAGGTGCTTGACGCGGAATGGGTACATGATCTTCTCATCCTTGGGGCTTTCCAAGACAGTCGTCGTTATCATGCCCTTGTTAGCCGACGCACTGGTCAGGTTAGATCCCATGGAAGACCCCGTGTTGACGTGAGAAACTGTTCCTGGAGCGGGGCTCGCAGCTGATCCAGCGCGAAGCCGAGAGTCTGGTCTAGCATTTGCTGCAACGGTTGCCACACCCTTGACGGAAGACTTGACCACCGGGTCGTCGTTGGTACCCTCGAGAACTAATAGATCCATCGGGATCGGCTACGGACAAGTGTCAGCATGGGTATTCAATACCAAGAGGCGGGGATTTACCAGTCGAGAGACATCATATCTCTCCTGCTTCGCGCCACCCTCTACGTCTCGATGATGAACTGTCTTTGCCAATACAAGGTAGTGGTCGAAAAGTAACGCATGGGTCTCAAGCCAGGTGTATCTTGTACCGCCCATGCGCTGAAGGTCGCCCTTGTAGATGAGTTCTCGGCCTAGATGGTTGAGGTTTAGCTCGACTCTTTGCATGCCTGGACGGAGGATGAGCTTGGATTGGAGGTCGGTTAGATCAACCTTGCGAGACATCTCCGCCACACGCGCATCGCACTCCAAGGTGACAGCCTTAATCTCGTCAATCGCGATCTGCAAGTTCCTCTTCTCCTCATTGTCCACAATCGAACGCTTCAGCACAGTGCTGAGCAGAAGGCCGTAGTGCTGTAACCTTGTGATTGGAGTCTTGAGATAGTTGTCCCAGGCAAGCTTCCTTGACGACCGGTGGGCCTGCACTTGATCCAAGAAGCTCCGGAAAAGAATGTTTCGCTCCGCTTCTTGTCGAACAAGGAATGTTGCATATGGGAAAGCAGCCGCGTAGTCGATGTATGCCCCTCTAGCCTTTCTAATCCATTCGCGGAAGATGTCGCTAAAGCCTGCAACCCAGGGCCCTTGTTCCTGTTGTCGGTACTTCATTTGCGGCAGGAGATGCTCTTCGTTCGATTGTTTGACGGCATCAACTCTGCCAAATACGTCTCGAAGGAATCCCTTCAACTTCTTCGGGGGAATGACAGGTGGCTCCATTTGCATAAGCCCATCACGGTAGAGCTCACGGAGAACATTCAGGCTGTCCATGAAGTTATCCTCGGTTTGCACAATTTCATGAAGGATGTTTTGCCTCTCGACTTCCTTCTTGCCAACGGTCTCCGGGATGTCCTCTTTCTTGATCTTGTAGAACGATAGCCAATCCTCACCTCTTTTCAAGGATGGTTGAGCATGGAGATCGATCTTCTTCAACGTCCTTTGACAGTGGTAGGAGTAGCAGCGCCCAAGGGTGTGGTGTTCGTGAAGTGTTGGCGCATAGCAACCAGCTTTGGAAAGCTGGAAGAGGACACCAGAAGTTGTCGCCGGTGTGAACTTCAGCCACTCCTCCACGTGTTCGAGCGTCCCGACTTTGTACATCTCTTGGACGACTTGAGTGCTTAAAGTTTCAGCATCTGCTACGTTCATCGTTGGGACCTTGTGAGTGAACAAATTCACTAGTCCGTCTGTGATGAGATGCTCCTTCAAGTCGGTTTCTCCCTCGGCCATCATTCGCAACCAGGCAATAATTGAGCTTAGCGCCCAGGGCTCTGTGCACCTCGCGTAGTCTTTTGGCGTTAGCTTTTGTGGGTTGAAACGCTTGCCGGTGGGGAGTGCAGGTAGATCCAGAGTCATTGTGCTGGCCGTAGGCGGAGTCAGGTTTTCGCTGCTAGAGTCCTTCTCGTATAAAGCTGAGGTACGTATTCCAGAGCTGCGCAGTCGTCGCTCCTCGGCATCCGTCTTCGACCTGATGGGCGGCACAGCTTGAGGCGTGTGGCTGTGACTGACGAGAGAAGTCGATCTCGGCACGATCGCGCCGCTTGGAGTGACCATTTGATCAGGTCCGGCAGGATAGGTCCCGCGGCCCTGTTGATAACCGTATGATGGGCTTTGTCGTTGAGTGAAGTTGGGTTCTCCCGCTGGTGGTGGCGGGAGCGGTCGCGAGTGCGACATACCTGGGTGGTAAAACATTTCAGGCGGCTCAGCAGCTGTTGATGTTTCAGACACCATCAAACTAGATTCATCGCCTTCGTCGTAGCTCAGGCGACGTCTGTGGGCACCCGGCTCGGCAAACCCGCCAGTGCCAAATGTGTCAACCCTTGCATTGCTGGAAAACGGAGGAAAGGGATGAATGGGATCGTATGCATCTGCATCGCTCGCATCTCCGGATTTGCGTTGCGAGCCAGACGACGATAGAGTTTGGCTTTGGCTTCCAGAACGATCAATGTGCCCACTGGCGAGTTCGGCTGGATTTCCACCGTAGGTAAAGTGCGGTTCGAAATTTCCAGCATAAGCACCCAAGTCGATGCCCGCCATATCATCATCGCTGTAAACGGCGTCTGTTGCTGTCGACTCATGGGTCGGTGGTTCCGGTGCTGCGGATGACGGGGGCTGCATGGTGCTGTAGCCGCTGAAAAGTGTAGCACCGCTGCTACCCCTGCGTTCCTCCTCCTCGGCCATCTGCAGAGCCGCCAAGCCCGCAGCGGCTTCCGCATCACTCTCGTCGCTGTAACTGTAGGCAGCGTGCGCCGGGTTTTCTGGCGCCAAATGGCCATTTGTTGCCGCGACTCCACCCCCCGAAAGCGATGCATAGAAAAACGGCTCATCCTGTCCGTTTGGCGAAGGATAATCCGGTTGGTCCACATCGATCCTCGGAGAACTTCCAGCGTTCAACACTGCATTTTCAATTTCGTCATAAAGATCATCAGACGTCATTTGGCCGCCGTACGGACTACCGTTACTATCTGTTCGTCCATAAGCGCCCTCGCTTTGTGGAGGACCGGGCAGCGGTCGAGACTGAGGATGGCGGCCAGATGTACCGGTCCTTTGCGGGGAGTGCGAAGGCAGCGGAGGGAGTGGATTCGAGTAGTACAGTGGTGATTGTCGGCGTTCATCCTGGTTCACTGGGGGCGAAGGTAACGGGTTGTTGTATCTCAAGTCACTGTAGACCGAGGCCATGGACGGCCGTCTCGCAATTTGCTCCTGCCAGTCAGCCGGTGGAGATCCGCCGCCATGAGGAGGGACGGGCAGAGGAGGAGGCGCAGCGGAAGGCGAATATGCCAAGGGTCGAGGAGGCAGCGGAGCGGAGCCGGGGGAATTGGAATATGTTGGGGATTGTACAGAGGGACGGCTGTATGTACGGCTGGGAGAGTACTGAGATTGGTAAGGGAGCTGGGGCGATGGGAATTGGGCGGTAGGCGAGGTCGGATAAGCATCGTAGCCATAGCCATAACCTCGACCGGCCGTGGTGCCACTGCGGTTGAGGTTGTTCTCCGTGTAAGCGGCGGGATTGTAGGGCTGGTGCGGGGCAGCAGCGTCGAAATGTGTCCGGTTGACTCCGCCGTAGGCTTGTGGATTCGGGATCTGGACCGGAGCAGGAAACTGGCGGGGGTCATAGGCCGGCTGGGTGGGCGAAGTCACGGAATGGTATTGCGAGCCAAAGTCCGAGGCGAGCGGTGTGGCGGGCATGTCGGGCGGCGGGTTCGACGCGTCCTGCATGAAGAGCTCATCATGGTGGCGCACAGCGTAGCTGGGTCGGCGGTCCACATTCTGGCCGTAGCTGTATCCATCCTGACCACCGTTTGTGACAAAGGCAGCCTCGTCGCCGCTCTCGAAGCTGGGGCGGCGGGGCTGGTACGGGCTGTTGTTGGCGTAGGGCTGCTGCTGCGACGAGCCGGGGCGATAGTACGAGCCGTTCTGGTAGTAGGACATGGTGTCGGCGGCTGGCGGGGAGGGGTCTGCTCTTGGGCGCGGGCAGGGTCTCCGGTGAGGTCATGCACCAGGGCGGCGCGCGTGGGTGATCAGCGCGGAGGCGGGAGGGCGTAGCAGGGCTGCGGCGTCCACATGGGCGTGGTCGCGCGTCTGTCGGGAGCGGCGAAGTGCGCAGACAATGGCGGTGTCGCAACAGGGGCCGCACGGCGGAAGAGCTTCCCGAGCTACCTGGTTCGGACGAGCTCGTCTTGGAGCGGCGGGCGTCGCTGGGGCGGGCGGGCGGCGGCGGCGGCGGCGGGCAGGCAGCAGCGGCGCGGGGCTCGGGGCTCGAGGGAGGCGGCACGGCGCAGGCGGACAGGCGGTTTGGGGACTCGGAGGTCCTGGTTGACAGGTGGTGTCTGACAAGACCGTCGGGCTCCCCAGGCGTCGACTGCTGCTGCGGGCTGTTGGCTTGTCGCGCTGGGCGGGCCAATGAGAAGGCGCGCCCACTCGAGCCCGAAGCACGGCGCGGCTGGGCGTTGCTGAGGCTGATGAGGACGTGACAGACGTGACAGCCACCACGGTCGGCGGGGCGCAGCCAACGTCTAGGTACGTACTCGGCTGCCCGCTCACTCCATCGCAGACGCGCCGCAAAGGCACAGCGCCCTCGTCGTTCAGCCTTGTGGCCGTTTCGCGCGCCGCTCCGCCAAGGCGCTCTCCGGGCGCAGACCAGCGGACCAGGCACCGTCGCAAGGCTGCCAGGCTGCCAGGCTGCCAGGCCGCACCCGCGCGACCTCCCTTTCTCCGCATCTTGCGATACAGCCAGCGGGTCCAGCAATCATATGCAGTCCAACTCATCCCGCCCCCAAAAATGCAGCCGGAATGACGTGGTGTCGCGCGCTGCACCGTCAGCCTGCTCGAGCATCTGCCGTGCCGATCGCCACGTTCTGAGCGGGCGAACGAGCGAACAGTCCTCATGGAATGCATGCTGTGCGCGTGCCTGCCACCTGCGACCTCGCTTTCACACGCCGTCCTCGGGTACTCTCACGCCGACCCCGCACTTAAGCTCTTATGTCCGTCGTATACATGCTGTGCTTGTTAGCTATATCTTGGGTGCATTTGCAACCGCCGCTGCTCTCGCCAGCTCTTCTGGCTCCGGATTGCTCTTCTCTACTCCCATCACTTCTGCAGTCCCGACGTCAGCTTACATCAACCCCCTTGCCCCAGCGTTAGCACGCAATCGCTCTTGTACCACCACCTGCGTCCTCAGTCGTTTTAGCAAGCGAGCTGATCGACGTCAATCCAGACTGGTGCCACTGAAATTTCTCTTGGATCCGGTGCAATGGCCATTAGCTCAGGGTCCGCCGACGGTGCTGGCACCAACGGGGCGCACCAACAGCTGCAGTTCAGCGATGATGACTACGTCCCAGCGGCTGACGAGCATGGCTACCGCATCCTGGAGCAGCCCATGGGGACCAAGCGAAAAAAGCCGGAGCTTCGTCTCTGAACTTCTTCAAGAAAGCCGAAGAAGAGCTTGAGAACGTTGACATTGTGTGCTATGAAAAGAACCACGACATTGGCGGAACATGGCTTATGAACAGATATCCAGGGTGTGCTTGCGACATCCCGTCAGTCAATTACTAGTTTACCTGGAAAATTAAGCAGTGGTCCCATTTCTACTCGTACTCGCCCGAGATTTGGCGTTATCTCAAAGACATTGAACGAGAAAACGATTTCATCAAGAAATACGTCTACTTGAGGCACCAGCTCGAACTGGCCGAATGGGACAGCCACGCTGGCGTGTGGAGATTCAAGATCAGGAACCTGGTGACGGACGAGGTGTTTGACGACGTCGCCGAGTTCTTCATCAACGCTGGCGGAGTGCTGCACAAGTGGAAGTGGCCGGATATCCCTGGCCTTCATGACTTCAAGGGAAAGCTGATGCACAGCGCTAGCTACGAGGAAGGCTACGACCTCAGCGGGAAAAAGGTCGCCGTCATAGGCTCTGGTAGTAGTGGTGTCCAGATAGTTGCTGCTATCACACCAAAGGTCAAGCAACTGTATCACTGGGTTCGCAATCCGATATGGATCACTGCAGTTTTCGCTCAAACCTGGGCCGGTCCAGATGGTGCAAACTTCGCATGTGCGTCCGCCGCCATCGTTTGCCTGTTCATATTAACGTTCTGACAGATAGCGACGAACAGCTCCGCTTTCTTGAGCAGAACCCAGACAAATATCTCAAGTACCGCAAACAGATCGAGAACAAGTTGAACCAGCGCTTCAAGTTCATCATCAAAGGCTCTCCAGGTATGGTTCATCAGCTAGAGACACAGAAACCATCGGACAACATCTCATGACCCTTCGACCTCTTGCATCCCCTAGTCACTGACAACTACCAACCAGAAAGCAAAATCGCTCGCGACTTCGCCCACGACCAAATGGCCCGCAAGCTCTCCAAGCGCCCCGACCTAGCTTCCGCCATAATACCCAAAGACTTCAACCCCGGCTGCCGCCGCCCCACGCCCGCGCCCGGCTATCTCGAAGCCCTCTCCGCCCCTCACGCCACCATCTACACCAACCAGCTCCAGCAAATCACCCCCACCGGCTTCACCGACCACACCGGCGCCCACCACACCGTCGACGCCATCATCTGCGCCACCGGCTTCGACACCACCTGGCTCCCCTCCTTCCCCTTCCGCGCCCACGGCCGCGACCTCCGCGACCTCTGGACCCGCCGCCGCCTCCGACCCCGAACCAGACGTGACATCCCACCTCGCGATCGGCATCCCCACCTCCCCCAACCACTTCTCCTCCAGCGGGCCGTAGGTACGGGCCCCCTCGGCCACGGGATAGCTTCATGCCGCTCATCGAACGCTGGACGCGCTACACTACACGCACCTCGCCATCACGAAAGCGCAAACTGAGCACATCAAGTCGCTCTCGCCGCGCGGCAAGTTCCGGCAGCAACGCGGACCTGAACGTTCCTGCGGCGCGCACGGCGTGGACGCAGCCGTTGCAGCAGCTGGTTCAAGCAGGGGGGCCGCGAGGATGGACAGGCAGGCGGCGGTGTGGTGTGGTGTGGGCCCGGGTCGCGGGTGCGTTGATTGCTTGGAGCTGATGTGGTGGCCGCGGTGGGAGGACTTTGAGATGGAGGAGTATTGG